ACTTGAAGTGGTTTGCTAGAAGCTCCTGTGTCCTTAGGGAGTAGTTATGGAGAGCAAGCAGTTAAAACATGAAAACAGCTGGACATCCAGGACATTACTTCTGATCTTCCTCCCTGTTCCTTCCCCTGTATTGTGATTCAAACCTGTTGCAGATCAGAGCTGTTCAGAAGATGATCTTCTAAACCCTTCAGACTCCCTGTCTAGGCTAGCTATTTTGCTTACCTTGCAAAATCTGACAGCTGTTACAAATGTTCATGTGTATGGCACATGCTTGAAAATATTCCAGTTATGAATATAAAAACTGACTGCAGGAAACTGAAGTTCAGAACAGGAGATAATATTGAGAGAGGAATTGTAATGATGGGCCTCTCCTAACACAGCGTGTGCATACTTTGCTTCCATAGGCTGACTGTACCAAGGAATCTGCCTTGCGCTAATTCAAGGGGAAAATTCAGGACTGAGATGTCTGTTTAATCGAGTGAGGTGTGTTTGTAGGCAGATCGACGTGTGGAAGTTACCCTGTTACTCAGAAGGACTGTAGGGGCCTGCAGTGTTGTTTAATTGAGAAAGACACTGTCGTTTGGTGGCCAGAATGGTTCTGGGGAATTTTTAAGACTAAGCTGTAAGAGCAGTTAATATATGTGATGATGTAAGTTTACTTATGGTGTATAATCTGTGAGAATACTACTCCAGTGGCTAGCGAAGTGGCTAAAGGATGCTGAATAAAGCAAGCAGTGGAGTATACACTTTGTATCTACTTGGTGGGGTTAGTTCTTCTGCACTTTTGCAAAGATAATGTGTCTGGGCATTGGGTCATCTTGCTTTTGTAAAGCTGCCTTGGGTAAACGAGGAAAATGATAGCTTTCAGTCTTGGGGAAGCAATGGGTCAGGTTAACTCTCTTGTGATTTTAGTGCCATTGACTTTCTGTAATAACTCTAATGGAGCGTACTGGAAACAAACCTAGTTAGGAGTATTAAGTTTTAATAGATATATTTTCCAGCTGCAGTCTGAAATTGAATGCTAGAATTACTTTCTCGAGATTTTGGAAAAGGTGGTGGATTTTGCTTTGTATGGGTTTTGGTTTTTGTTTTTTTTTTTTAAATACTCGACTAATGTGCCAAATACCTAAACGGCTGCTCTAATACACTATTTCAGCTCTAAAATTCTGTTAGTGCTGCACCTCATGTTTAAAATTGCAATTTATTTTAAGAAACATCTAATTTTGTGTTGATTTCTAGACATTTTATTTAACACTGACAAAAACTGAACATAGGGAGAGTCATGTGTATGATGTACTATAAGGTAGTGTTTCCCACTATATTATAGATATATATTAAGGTATATTAGAGAAGGTATCTAGAGAAATTTCAGAATCCCTAAATAAAATCCTGTGTAGGAAATGCAGGTTGTTAGCTGGAATTGTTTTTAGATGGCAATTACAGCCTGCTTGTTTCCAGCACCCTGAAAAATTTCTCAGAATTTAGAGATTGTTCTTCTGGCGTTTTTAAATAGCCACATAGTAGCTGATGCATAATGAATGAACATATTGTAATGGCCCAGAAAGATCTTAAAACTATGTAGCCTGTTTTTCTAGACACTGTGGATATTGCATGCTTCTATGGAATTCAACTTTAGCATTGTTTGGAAATAATCTCAGAGATACTGTTACCCGACCTAATGTGATTTTTTTTTTTTTTAATTTTTTTTTTTTAACATCTTAACCTTGTTAGGTTTTGATCTCATTGAATGCTCATTTCTAGAAGTAGATGAGTTTCTATTTTAAATTCCTCTGTACTTTCTAACAATAGCAAGCTGTTTACATGCAAAAGAGAGGCCTATTGCAAGACATAAGAAGAATAATTTTAATTTCATTCAGTACTGTTGAAATTCAGACATTACATGTATATGTGGCTCACAAACTAAGAAACTTGACCTTCTTTATGCATGTTTTCTGTCATCCTTGGGCATAGCTGGTGAGAATGGTTGACTCTGAAGATAGTTTCTTAATTATTCCCTCTTAGATTATCTGGAGGGGCTTAGTTTTTCTGTCACAAAAATACCAAAATCCAGAATCGTCATGACCATGAATCATAGAATCACAGAATAGTTTGGGTTGGAAGGGACCTTTAAAGGTCAGCTAGTCCAACCCCTCTGCAGTGAGCACGGACAACTTTAGCTAGATCAGGTTGCTCAGAGCCCCGTCCAACCTGACCATGAATGTTTCCAGGGATGGGGCTTCTGCCACCTCGCTGGGCAGCCTGTGCCAGTGTTTCACCACCCTCACTGTAATGAATTTCTTCCCTATATCTAGTCTAAATCTACTCTCTTTTTAGTTTAAAACCATCACTCCTTGTCCTATCGCAACAGGCTCTGCTAAAAAAGGTTGCCCCCATCTTTCTTATAGGCCTCCTTCAGGTACCAGAAGGCCACTAGAAGGTCTTCCTGGAGCCTTCTCTTCTCCAGGCTGAACAACCCCAACTCTCTCAGCCTGTCCTCATAGGGGAGGTGCTCCATCCCCCTGAGCATCTTCGTGGCCCTCCTCTGGACTTACTCCGACGGGTCCATGTCCTTCTTGTGCTGAGGACTCCAGAGCTGGATGCAGAGCTCCAGTCTCACCAGAGCGGAGTAGAGGGGGAGAATTAACTCCCTCAACCTGCTGGCCATGAACCTTGGTAGATTTTTTTTCCTTGTTCAGATTTGGTTCTGCATTATATTGTCACTCTGATTAAATAACTTCTTTCCCTGTTAAATCTGCATTAAAATGATCTATCCTGTGAAGCTATCTTTTGCTTTGCCTATGGCATTGGTTTCACTTGCCTATCCAACTGCTTATCTAAAAGATCCCTTCAAGTATTTACTGGAAGTAGGCTAATCCTATGAAGCGTATGAAATTGGCAATTGATATTAGAGTTGCTGATGCTTCTGGTAGGCATTCTATTTCAGGTAGTGAAGATCTCATTGTGTGTGTAAATAGGCTCAAAGACTTCTAAGACTTGCTTGTATAGCCTGGTGATGTAGCTCTAGACAGGGTTCTAGGAACGTCTGTAATACTCATTATTAGCACCATACTGGTCGTGCAGTGTGTTTTCTTAGACGACGCTTTTTTGGGGCTCTGGTTTATCACATGTAGGACTAGTGTCTGATGTTTAAGGAATGTTTCAAAGCCTCTTTGCCTGGAGCTGTCCTTCTGATCCTCTCTTTCCAAGTCCACAGAAAGTATTTTAATTATGTGCTTCTAAAGGATAAATACTATCGCCAGTGTTTTATTTCAGGGTTGAATAAATTTGTCTGATATACAGAATCTAACAACCCTGGCTTACTTGGTTCTGCAGTAATTTGGAAAATGGTTTAGCAGTGGGGTAGTATTTTGCAGAGATACTCAGGTGATGAAAAGACAAACAGAAAATTATGTTTAGGACTGTTCTCCTGGCCATAGTGAATAATTAATAATGCTGGAGGTGATGTAAGCAGAATTGTGCTACATTTGGGAAGAACATTCTGGTTGTGGTATACTCCTTGTTTTTTCCGGTCGTGTTGCAGCTGTTTGCTAGTTTTCCCAATTCTACTAGTGCTTATGTCCTGAAATAACTCTGCTCGGCTCAGTGGGACTATCTGTAAGCCTGGGTGTTTACAGGAGAGGCTTGGCTTCAATCTATAATAAATGCACGCTGAAGTTGGAAGCACTGCTTTAAATTCCATTTTGTATAAGAAAACAATTACTTGCATAAGGAATGATGGGTGAGATCAGCATAGACCGACGTCAGGCTGGGTATTGGGAGAAACAGTGAAACCTCCCACTGCTTCTCTGACTCTGCTTTCAGCTTAAGGTCAAAGATCTAGAAACCTTTGGTCTATAAAGAACCAGGCTCAGTTAGTGCTCTGTAGAAAGATGTAGAGATGCCCACTTTTTGACTGAAGCAGTGAATAATGGGAAAATATTAAGCTGTCTTTTGACTTTTGTTGGTGCTTTATGCTTAAGAGGAACTGAGTGAGCTGGGAGTAATCATGCCTTTCTGTTACAAAATCTAAAAACTGGTCTGAGAAGACACTGTTACTACCTACAGTATTTGCCTGCCTTAAAATCTGTAACCTAAAAGATTAGAGCCTAGATTTTACCTGTTAAACACTTGCATCCATCTGCCCTGATGTTGGAAAGCATTTGAAATACTGAAACACTTAACACCTCTCTGACATTTTCTGTTACTTTGGTTTCTGCTTGGAACATTTCCAAGCCCCGTCTATATCTTGCCCCATACACACTTAGAAGTTAAAGAGTACAGAAGCACTGCAGATTTCGGTGACTAATATTTAATGTGGGATGATGTGTTGGCATGCATTAAAAATAACATCCGTTTAGTTCTTCAGACTTTTTGAGATTTAAAATATATTTATGAGATATCATGGAGTTTTCTTTTTAGGAGTGGATTATTATTATTTTTAAATGTAGATATAGATTGTTCATTACTTGAATGTGATCTTCTGTGACTTACAAAATGATGCAAACAGGTTTGGGGAACAAAGCTTACTTGAAAAACTATTTTTCTCATAATGTTGAGTGAAGAAGGTTAAGAAGAAGATAATTGAGTGAAACCTTGTTTCCCAATATGCCAAAGTACAAATATTTTTTGTACTGTGTATTTTTGAAAGACTAAATTTGGTTATGATTAGACAAGTTTATTTGCAACATAGTGGTGTGGTGTGTAGTTTGTCATAGTTTCATATTTAAAGTCAGTAATGGTTTGTTGATTACTGCCTAGGTGTCTCTAGTTTTACTTTTGGAGCTAGTAAAATCTTTCTGCAGACTTTCCTGAGACATGCATCAAACTGCCTAAAACCAGCATGTTCAGCTTAGGCTGCCATCTGAAGTTATCAGTTATATTGTAGAAGTAAATAAATTGCTCCCCTCTACACCTTTTTATGCTTTCTATCTATTCTGCTGCAACTGTCTAAAATCCAAGTAGCTAAATTCGCAACTATTTCATCTGCTTTCCAGCACACCTCTGTGGATGGATACACAGAACCACATGTCCAGCCTATCAAGTCAAGTAGCAGGCAAAACATCCCCCGGTGTAGAAACTCCATTACATCTACCAACGAAGAGCACCCTCACATTGGAAATTATCGCTTACTGAAAACAATAGGAAAAGGAAATTTTGCCAAAGTGAAACTGGCAAGGCATGTACTGACTGGAAGAGAGGTAAGCCTTTCAAAACAAGTGAAAAAAAGGCTGACAGTGTGTTTTATTTTCTCTTTGGCCCTTTATAATAAGTATTTCGCTGTTCTTTTACCTTTCTCTTCTGAGTAGGAAAAGCACATTTTTTATTGTCATAAAGGAAGATGCAGAGACTGTTTCAGGATACAGGATTTAGGCACCTGAGGTGCCTGAGTTTTCTCCCTTTAACCACTCACCCCTTTTTAAAAAATGTAACTTCTTGGTTAAGAGATCAAAAAGTTTGTGGTACTTCAAGGGGTATTTTGGGGCTGGGAGGGGGTCTGTTCAACCCTCAGCATTTCCAAAACAGAAGATAAATGTATTGATAGATAGATTTCACTGATGTTGATAATCTGTTGATAGACAGATAGATAGATCCTTGATACTGGAATTTATTGATAGCTAGTTCTTGTGTTTGGAGAGCCTGGTTTTACAGTGGACAGGATAACATTGTTCTGTCCAAACACTGACAGAAGTATAAAACTGATTCCTTGATGGTACCATCTGGTGGCACAGTTCTGAGCTCCTGCTGGTAGATCCTAACAGTTGAGGAAATTTTTCTTGATGAAATGCATAAAAGCAGACATATATGCATGTCTTACAGGCACATTTACGCTTTGCTCGCAGAGATGCAATACGTTTTTGTTCAAATGTTTTTCTGAGTTTAATAATCCTTGTTTTTTCCCAAGGTTGCTGTGAAAATAATAGATAAAACCCAGCTAAATCCTACTAGTCTGCAAAAGGTAAGAATATACCGTAACACCTGAGATTCTGTAAGTTGAACTGTGATCTTTTATTTACTTGACAAAAATATTTAGTCCCTTTGTCTTGCTAAACAAATGTCTTTGTGTATGTGTGACCTTGGGAGACAGTGGTGTCCTACTGTCTTTGCTGTAATGTGCACGTGCAGTTTGTCTGAGGGCAGTTAACTCTTTGAGGTTCCTATCTAAGCGTTGCTTCTTTGCCCTTCCTTCCTCCTCCAGCTTTATTCTTTGCTGTACAAATAACATTTGTATCTAATTAGGTACACAAGTAGTTTGTCCACACACTAAATCAAGACATAATGCTGTAAAGGATAATATTTTTTCTTGGATTTTTCTTTAATGTAGTAATTGGGTTTTGTGGACTTACAAGAGTGCCAATTTTTATGGCTTTAATTTTTTTTTTTTACTTTTTTTTATTTCAACTTTAATAAAATATTTGTTAAACTCATGGGACCTTTGGCAATTGATTTTTCTGTATGGAATTGATAAAATGACTGAACGTAATTGGAACGTTCTTGTTTGTGCCTGTAGATAGAAATTCAGAAGTCCTTCATAACCATCGTGATAAGTGTCTTAACAAAACCCTGGGGGATTTGGTTTGGGGTTTTTTTTTGGTATTTAACTATGCATATGTTTGATTTTGGCTGAAGCACAGAAATGTTGTATTGTGCTACTGGAGGCTGCCCATTGTAAAAATGTAGGACTTTTTTTTTGTTCACAAATACTAGACTGCTGCTGTCTGTAGCTGTAGAATGAGAGAAAGAGGCCAGGGCTTATTGCTGTTCTTTTGTAGTATTTTTGTTTGAGAATGGGTTCTTCAGGATTTTTTTTTTTTAATTCAACCTGCTGTGCAGAATCCATGCAAAAGCTTTGCTATCCTTAAGTCCTATATCCTATATTAAGCAAATCTCTTTGCTAATGTTTGAGCTAGTGAAGAGGGACCCACAGAGGCGGTATGTGACAGAGCATATTGGGGATATCCTGTGCCGCTCATATAGCTGTTTTCTGCTTAGCTTGGTATTTACACTTGGAAGCTAGGTGAGTTTGTCTCATGGTTGAGCAATGAGAGGGTAAAAAAAGTTACAACTTTCTGGAAAACTTAAGTGTGAAAAACTTACTTCTGGGATAATTGCTTTAATGATAAGTTGTATTTCACACAAAAATATTCAATAATAATTCAATAAATCATTCCAAGTGTAAATGAAAATCTCATAGCCTACAAAAGATGCTGTCATAGTGTACAAGTAGTACAAAATACTCATGTAATAGGACATTGCTCTTACTGGTTTTTGAGTTGGAAGATGGTAGCAAGAGGAACATTTTTGGGTACAGTTAGAAGCAGCTTATAGCAGAAATAGCGACAGAAGTTAAATTTGGTGATTTAACCACAATTCTGTTCTTCAGTAACTTCCAGAAATATTTATCCAGTGCATCTTCTGATTACACTGGAGAGCGTGGTAATTTGCTGGTATAAAGTTTTCCTTTGTAACATCTTGATTGTAATTTTCAGAAAAAATAATCTTTGTTTTGAAACTCTGAATGTCTTCAAGATCCTGCAGTTTTCTGAGAATTTTGAGTGAAACTGAACATTGATTTCACTGAAAGCTTTTTAGTAAGCTTAAGCACAGTTTTTGCACAGTCACTCAGGCAACTGTAGGGTGTTTTTTGAAGCAAATAAGGGTGGGAGAGTGATTCATCAGCCTGCTTAGAATTACTTCTTTTGTTAGTATTTGGATAGGTCATTTGTGTATTGTAAATAAAACAACAAAAAAAGTATTCTTGTTGTGTTCTATGAAATCAGTCGTCTTTATTTTTCTTCCTGCACTGAACTAGTACATGAAGTTTGTGATTCTTTATGTACTATATTGTATCACTGTAATGTGAATTTTTATAATTTTGTCATCAGGGTTATACTGGTGTTATACAGTACATAGGACTGTTAAGTAGCCAATATATTCTTCAAGAGGTAATGTTGGGACTGGAAAGCAGTGATAGTATTGTTTTAGTAGGAACAGACACTTCCCTAATGAATGTTTATAGAGGAATACTGGAGTACATTACTGCCACAAAAATACCACTCCCGAGTTTGAACCAATCTAAATTAGCATAGTTGAGAGGACAGTCTCTAGAACTTCAAAGCTGGTAAATTGTATGCTGGTAAATTGTATGCAGGTCAGCAAAACTTTCAGGCCTTCCTTCACTATTGATTATTATTGATCAAACAAGACAAATTTGTAGTGATCTTAGGCACAGGGTCATTCACAAAACCGTCCCTTTTCCATTCACTCTAATATAAAGGATACCAAGCGCAAGTAGGTTTTGCCATAGTACTTGCTACTGGCCTAATTAAGTAAAATGAGTTGAGGCATCATAGCTCCTCATGCACTGTTCTGTTTTGTAAACAGAAATACTTGAGCACATACTTCAGTGGCTGAAAGTGTCATACAAGCTGGGTCTGTAGTTAATCACGGCTGTGTGGAAGCAAAGTGTTTAGTTTGTTCTTAGCCACTCTCCAACGTTATTTATGCCACATAGTATGAACAGGGTACTTTGCAGACATAGTTAATCAAATGTTAGGAGATGAGGCAAGTAAGCTGACCTTGTGAATTTTTAATTTTGCATCCTTGTGCTTGCAATGTGATAGTCTTAAGTTATATTCCATCCCTTGCTTCAGGACCTCTACCTCTTTAAGTAGATAAACAGTGTTGAATCCAGAGCGCTACCTTTTATTTTGTTTTCTATTTGTACAGTATGTTGTTCCCATCGTACTCCGTGAGCACCTGTTTAGAAGACAGAGCTGCTGGCTTTTTTGTGAACTTGCTGTCTTGATAGTAACATATTGTACTGACTTCGGTTTTCCTACTGTCATGATTGTTGTTTGTTCCCAAATGTAAGTGTTTGGGTTTCGTCGTAACTAGAATTTATAACTAATAGCTGTTCTATTTTCTGCATGTCTGCTACATTGAAAGTGTCGTCTTGTACTGGCTTCACTAGGGACGTTTCTGAAATAGCCTTCTGTTGCTCTTCTGCAAACTGCCAGTGAAGCAGAAGGTGCTTTTTTTCTTAATAGGTTTGATTAGTGAGCGGCGTTTCAGATTTTCCATCAGCAGGCTTCTTTTTATTCTTTAAACATCTCTAAAGCCTCAAACTTAGGTTCTTTCTGTCGTTAAGGGAAGCAGAACAGAAGTAAAGAAGTAGCAGAAGATTTGAAACAATTTCAATGTGATACCTATCGAAAGCTATGTTTTTTTGCAGCATCCCTTCTCAGTAATGATTTAGAAAGTAGAGAAGCATTCAATCACATCTTTCAAAGCAAGAAAAAGCCTTGGGTGACTGAAGATTTTTAGTTTGATTGTACTGACTTAAAATAGTGAATCTTAAACATAGATGTCAACCTGATAGCAAGTAGAAGTGTTAGCAATGGTGTGACAGAAGGTCTTTGTACTTTCTCCAGTCTGTGCCTTGAAAATGAAGCTGGAAAAGGAGGAATCACATTTTCAAGCCTTGTGCCTTTTCCATAGGTACAGGTTCTATGAATTGAGTATAGTGCTGGCTGTCCTCTGCTGTAAGTGAAGGTATTGAGGCTACAACCCATTTGCAACAACGAGATGCTTGTTAAAGAGCTTTTTTGAATGGTAGCACTTTTGTTAAGAATGAAGAGCAGTCCTATAAATGTGTGGTGGGATCGGGGAGAGAAGTCAGGGAGCACTTACACCTTCTGAAGGAGCAGTGCATTGCTGCTCGAGAAAAGAGGTGTGTGTGACTTATGAAAGCACTATATTTTAACAGTAAGATAGATCATTATATAATCCTGCAGCTTGCCTTGTCACAAAAGGAGAAATAGTCTTGCTGTCCTGTCCAGATTTCTGTAAAATGAACAAACTTGGCTTTGTAGGAAATAACTATGGTCTTGTTGCTTGAATACATCTCTTCCTTTGCATATAGAGGTATCCTGGGTGTTGCTGAGGGGTGTAGTGGCTGTTGTTTAAAGATATCTTTCTCTGTAAATACGTAGTTATTGACATAACTAGTGTTAATGACCAGCATGGTTCTGCAAGGGGAAAGTGTTGGGGCAGGGGAGAAGATTTATCCCAAAGTAGTACTCCACAGGATGCAGAGTTGCAATGTAAAATAATCTACTCTTGCTTTTATTCCAAGTGTTTTCCATTGTTCAGGGATTTTCTAGATTGTTTCTCTCTTGTGAGAGAAAATTGCAGGAGTGAATGTTGGCATCTTTGTGATTTGTGTAAATGTGCATTTATACTGGACCAAATAAAATCCTGAATATACACCAGGACTCCAGAGAATAGTTAATTTGCCCAACTTCCATCCCCTTCTGCTGTTTTGAACATCTGTATTGAAATAAGGTTCCTGCTCTTTCTCCCCACTCTGCATTTGAGAGACCCTTACGCATCCCCTTGGACCATATGGGCCAGGAACTACGCAAGGTGTAATGTGGCTGTGTTTGTGGTCTCTACACAGTGCTGTTCCATTATTTCAGTACTTTCAGCCTTTCAAACAATTTCTTTCTTTTACTGGGTTGGAAGGTATCTGTCAGCCAAGCAGCTTTAGCAAAGCTGCTTGGCTTAGTTACGTAGCAGTATTATGGAATACGTAAGTTACATCTGCCTAATTTGCAAGATGCCTATACTTGAGTTACTTCAGAAAAAGGTGTGAAGATGTTGATTTCCAGGTAAACAACTGCTGGAAACTTGTCAGAAACCACTAACAAAACACATGTTCTCAGAGGAATGTGGATCCTCCCCATGAAGAAGGCACCCTTATGGGCTGTGGTTTCAGTAGTGGGCAGGCAGTTGGGAGAGGAGTTTTGCAGGGAGTACAACCACTTTTTTATCTTTTCTCAGAGCAAGCCAATTACTCAGCAGGCACCTGCAGGTAGATTCCAATAGTAAATGCAGAATGGTATGACAAAGTTGCACAAATGGAATAAAAAAACATCAGTGTAGTCTAAGCAGAAGAATTTTAATTTCTTTTAACTTGTAGCCTCGGCCGTCATAAAACAGAAACGAAAGTGCAGCTCTTTGAGGTGGTGTTCGGTCTCTGGCTTGCATCATTGTACCCTTTTGCAGAGGTAACATCTGAACAAATGGGACTGATTTTGAAAATGGAGGGATAGATGTCCTCTGAGACATCAGATAAGCAAAACAGCAACAATGTACTTCTACATTGAGCCAAATTTCTCTATAAGGAGGACTGTAGTGCTGAGATATTCCCAAAGTGTCCAAGCATTACAGTGAAGCCAGTGGGCTTTTCTTCCTTCATTTCAGCATCCTAATTCAGCCCTATATGGGACTAAAGAGCATGCAGCACAGTAAATAGATTTGGTGAAGGGAATATGCTGTTCACTTGAAGTAAAACAGTGCAAGCTCATCAGTATTGACAGCCTCAAGTATAGAGTGACAGAACTACATAGTCATTTTTGGATTCCTTTTGTTTGCCTTCTTCCCTTTGAGCCCCTAGGTTAGTCTTGCTTCAGCTCTTATTTAATCAATAAACCCATGAATGCTAGAGATTTTAGAGCAAAGACTTCATTTCTGGTTTAAAAAAATAAAATAAAATAAAATCCACCATTGTCTTAAGTATGTACACTTAGGACTATAAGTTTGTCCAATTGTTTTTAATTCTGTGACTCAGGATCATAAAGCAGACTTTCATCAGTCTCAAACCTTCAGACCTTGCCTGGGGGAGAGGGGACATCGCAGTTTGTGAGCCAGTGTAAAATTTGGTAGTTGTGAGAAAAGTGAACTCGCCTGCTTCACACCTGTGGAGTGGCAGGACTCGGGGACATCAGGGTTCCTGGCATCTAATTCCATTTTAACATATGTGTGTTCGACCTCTCTGTAGTACTACACCTTGTATTTACACCCGCAGTTATGTATGTATTCAGGGTAGTTAGCTGAGCTTGCCAGTTAACAAAGACATTGGAGCAGAGAGATGACAAAAACTTGTGTGAATAAACCATTGGGTTTGGTTCATGTGAAATTCCAGAAGGAGCTATGAAACTTATCTGTGTCTGTTTGTATAAAGCTTAACAATTAGTCTGTTTTGTAGTTGGTAGTGGGGTGTTTTTTATATAATGTTTGAGATGTAGATTACGTGTTCTGGAGTTCACTGCACTATATTTATCTATACTTTATGCTAATGCTCTTTTCTGTGGCTTATGCTGCTCTTTTTTGCCATCTACAATTGCATATCTTGCGTAACATCTCCTTAATAAACACACTCTTAAGAAAAATGTATTGCTTCCTTGACAGTTATTTCGAGAAGTACGAATAATGAAGATACTGAACCATCCCAATATTGGTAGGAGCCCTGCATTTCTGCATACTTTTTTTTCTTATACTGTTTAGATTTTACTCTCTTTGGCTTTATTTGAATGTACTTTACTGCTATGCTTTTGTTCATTAAACTTTTTTGAGATAATAGAACAGTGAGCATTCAGCAAATGCTTCATGCCTCACCTCCTTTATTGACTCTGCTTGAAACAAGAATTTTGTTCTGAGGAGATAAACTGCTCAGTCCAGGAAAGCCTTAACACAAAGTAGGAGACGCTGAGCACTCCAGTCTGTTGAGGGCCCCAACTCCCCTCTTCCACTGAAATTACTCTTGATGCCAAAAAGCATGAGTTTCTTAGGTGAAAGAAGCAAAACTCCATTAGTTCAGTCTAGGAAAGACTCCCGCTGACTGATATTTCCAGAAAATTAGAATTACAAAGTATGTAATTTTCCCTTTCTGCTTTAGTTCTTTCACCTACCCCACAGCTTCAGGGCCCTACTTTGTGATGACAATTCTTCTGGCTGAGGAGGACTGGACAGTCTTGTTCCAGAGACAGTTAATGGTCCTGAATCGGCCAGAGGGCTTGTTGCATACAAGGTATGGACGAGGTGTACAAGTTATTACATGCTAGGCACTCCCTTCTCATCCCTTGAACTGTTTGTTGCTTTTCCAGCATTCTTAGCTTCTGCTGGTTTTTGTTTTCTTGGGGGTGGCGGGGGGGCGGGTGTTGGTTTTAAACGAGTAGTTACTATTACAATCTGAGGAAAGTCTTTCAGACCTGACGTTTCTGGTATCCACTCGGTGTTTAATTGGTCAGAATCTCAGATTTCTAACTGGGAGCAGTTTGCTAGCAAAACAGGGAAGGTTTGTATGATCTTAAAGACATCTGTGTCAAATTAAACACTAATTTCAGCATGAACTCGTTTGTACAGTGTGCATAAACTTCTGAGAAAACTGTGAATTAATATGCTTTATTATCAACCGTGATTTAGAAATTAATGTTGCTTTTTTCCCCCCTCAAAAGAATGCTAACCTAAAGGATATAAAGTTTTCGTGTGGTTTAGTGTTATCACTAGCCATAAATTATACTCACTTCATGAGTACAATTTTTTTGTTTGTGCTGTGCTTTTGCTTCGTGCTGCAATCTCTCTCTCATTCATTTTTCTTGCAGTAAAATTATTTGAAGTTATTGAGACTGAAAAGACATTGTATTTGGTAATGGAATATGCCAGTGGGGGTAAGTGGATTCTTAATTCTGCTTTAAGGATAAACTGAAATACGGGAAACGAAGCTGGTTGCATTCCTAGGAACGATTTAAGGATTTTTATGGTTAGTGGGTTATTCTATTCCAGTCCTAGCTGACCTCCCAGGGCAGACTTTCTTGCTTGCATCACGTTCTGTAAAGTAACCTATTAGACTTGTGCTTAAGGGTATTTACCGTTCTGAGGTTTCTGCTGGAATATCAGGAGACAATCTAGTGCTGATTCTGGCAAAAACTTGACTCACTATTTATCTGCTATATTTAGGCAAGCACTGGTGCCTCATTTTATCTTGAAAATGTGTGCCAAAGCACGTCGATAGGGAAGGCCAGGAGATGGGAATAAGGGACACGGGAAGGGGGACCAGCAGGGTCATAAAAAGTGAGAGGGATAGAGAGTGCTTGCTTTAGAAGCTGCTTAGCATCTGAATGGGCAATGTTTGAATGTGGGAAGGGAATCCAGCACAGGGCTAGTGACCAGCTAGGAAAGGCTGCTCGCCAGACAGTGCAAAGATGAGGATCTGAAAGGCATTTGAGCAGCTTTATTAGAAAGAGAACAACAAGGAAAAAACAGAAGTAATGTAGCTACTGTTAAGTGAAGCTGCTAGAGAGCTGCGAAGCAAATCTGGTACATCAGAAGTTGCCTGTTTCCCAGTGTGTCTTATATGCGAGATAAATGTTTTTCATTATTAAAGTCAATTTTTGTTTGTTTGTTTCACAGTGTTTTTCAAGTAAAACTCTTAAAAATTTAGGAAGCATTAGTATGAAGTGTTCCATTTTTATATTTCTTGACTATTACAGATTTGAAAAATTAAATCCAATGCAAACAGTGAAAAGGAGTGTTTCCTGGCTGCTCCTATTTCCTTTCCCTTCAAAAAGGGGGTGGGGGGTGTTTTCAAGCATGATTTGATTGTGCGTGACAGTCCAAAATAAAACCTGGGCAGTAGGACTAATGGGGGTTTTTTGTCCTTGTAATGGTCAGGAGAAGTGTTTGACTACCTGGTTGCACATGGAAGAATGAAAGAGAAAGAGGCTCGTGCAAAATTCAGGCAGGTATGAAATTAACATTCGCTCTTTCTTTCTTGCGTTTCTATTTATGGTGTTTTCAGATAGATGTGAGTGTGAGCATACTTCTTCTAATCTTAAAAAATATTCATTGTTGTGATAATGTTGATTAAAGCTGGAGTGGAAAAAATCCCTGAAGAAAAAAATATCTGCTTCCTACGTACTATCTAAAAATAGTAAGACTGTTTTACGTTCTTTTCTAGTGGATGTTCCTAAGAGACACGTATTTTATTGTGACTCACTTGAGATTTTAATTTTTTTCTGAATATTTTAGAGTTTAACAGGTGTGCTATCTAGAGATGTTGATATGACGACATGTATTGCTGTGTCTTGTCACACTGTTTGTATGAAGGGTATTCTGTAACAGCTTTTTATATTCTTATTACAAACTTTCTTGTCTTAATCTTTTTCTTATCCTGTTTTTATTGATTATTTTGTGAAAAGCTTTAATTAGATAAATAAACAAAATCTGTTATTTTTCAGAATCAAAGTGTATAATTAACATGTAAATAAACCGCTTTTAACTTGGTGATTCAGACTTCTTTTTTGTTATACAATGTGAAAGATGTATGTGAAAATGTTGAATGAACTATTCTGTTAGGGGTGAATTGCAGAGATGTGCTGCAAATATTTCAGAAGATAAAATCCGAGGTTATATATCTGGATATTGGGTTGGGACGCGCAATAATTTCTTTTAATAGTTATTACTATTGGGTGATCTGCATTTAAAAAAGATGTTTCACCTATTACCTTGAGAGTATGTATTAAACTTTTTTTTAATAAGAAAATGAGCTGCTTTTAGGGACTTTTAAGTATTTGAGCTTTAATGAAACTTACATTAATATTTTCTAAAATGAAAGCTTTATTTTGTTAATTTCTTAATGTTCCACTGAATCATATCAGGAGCCATAATTATGAAATTAGATATGGAAACTTATACTGAGATTGACATAAAATATTTCAGTGATCATCTTGGTGTTTCAGATTGTATCTGCTGTGCAGTACTGTCATCAGAAATGCATAGTTCATCGTGATCTTAAGGTAGGCTGTTACTTCTTTTTCATTTTGCTGATTGACAGTGTAGACTTAATTTCATTCTATATACTTGTCATTGCTGCTGTCTCTGAATGCCTCAAACACGTGAATGAGAGAACTATCACTTGTATTTTATTCTCAGTTTTCCAAAGCACAAAAGCAATGTAGCTTGCCTGATGGAACAGCGGAGAGACAAGAATAGAACATATGTTACTTTCATTCCAGTTTTGGCTTTAAGAAAAAGACATGCTCTCCAAAGGATTATACCTGCTGGCGCGCAGATATCTACACACTGAAGCTGCAGAAGTTCAATGATAACCAGTCAGCACTACTTAATGAAAATATTTTCAGTTAAAATATATTGCAAGATACATAAAACAGTATTTTCTTAATAATTGATAAGAAATACGTTAGGTTTTTAATCCATTTGAACTTTTGATTTATACTCTAGTGTTTAATTCAGGCAGAAAAATACATTGAAGGTAAACAGAAATTAATTGAACTTCCTTTTTTTGATGCTTTCTAGTAATCTATCTGTATAAATATACCAGAATGTGTTAAAGAGTTCAGCAACTGCAAGTGCAGCCTAAGCCTTCAGTCTGAAGTTGTCTTCATGCCAAGTTTAGATATCATGGGAATTGGACACAAGATCTTCACCCGCTTAAAACTTGGCTTGTGCTCTTGCTTTGATGTCTTTGTACATTTACAAAGAAAACACTGTTGTAGGTTGTTTTTTACTAATGTATCTAAATACTTGTGGAAAGCTGAGGTCGAAAAATCTAAGGGTTTTTTCACGGCTATCTTTTGTCTTAACTTTCTAATACATTGCAGCATGCTCTCAACCTCTTTCTTACAAATCTATTCCCTGATACCTGTGGATCTGCTAGCTCCTGCGTGTGTGTATGGTGCTGGATAATACAGTGTTTTCTGCTGAGTCCTCCCTGCCCCAGGACCATTGTCATCTGCTGATGGAGGTGCCTGGCCAGCGCTCTGAATTCAGAATGCAAGGAAGGAAAGGGCTGGATCTCACTGAAATCTTGATTTTAAAAAAAAAAAACAAAAAACAAACAACAACAACAAAAAAAACAACCCAAAAACCTCCCTGTCTTGCATGGTGATTTGGTGCTCGTGAATGTTTTGTCAAGCTCCCCGGAGCTTACTGCAGCCACTGTTGAGCTTTCCAACAGGCTGCACCTAGGGACCTATTGGCTTGGCTGGAGAAGCTGCTTTTCACTAGTTGTCTTGGCCCTATGCTTGGCTGCAAGCAGGGAGCCAGCCACCTCCTCATGCTTTTCTGGCACTGACTTGCTCAGCCCAGCTATATTATTGAGTCTCACTGCGTTAACCCCTGCAGTTTAGTGTCCTGCATCTTGCTCTTTCTCCCAGAGCCCGTTACAGCCTCCACCCCTCATTCATTCGTTAGTTCCATAGCATGCATACAGCTCACTGCATTGCTCACAGGACTATCCAAAACTGCTTCGCAGCGTTGGCACGGGCTCCCTTTTACCATCTGTCACAAGTACACTCTGCTGATCTCCTTCCTATTTGCAAGACAGACAGAGAGGCTCCAAAATAATTTCTTTGTTTGCTTTTCTCTCTCCATCTTCTCTTGGATGGAGTTATGCTAGACTCATTTGAAGAGCTCAGTGTTAGGTATGATTGAGAGCCAGTCGACCTAGCCAATGAAAAATACATTCCCCAAAGAAAAAAAGGGCTAAATGTAGGACTTTGAGGAGTTGTTCTCACTTCATCTCTTCTTTCCAAACGTTATGTGTGTCACCTCTTTTCATGGAGCTGCAGAGAAGGAAGATGCAACTTTAAAGTTGTGTCTGCGTTCTCATCTGCTTCTGTTGACTTTCTTCATGGAATCAGCCCACTGACTAGTTGACATTGTTAGTGCCACCAGGAAAAGGTCTAGCACCACTTTTGAGATTTTTTTGATAAGCCTTTTTGGCTTTAATTACAGAAAGGGTAAACTCCATCAAATGTAACTTACTTCAGACTAAACTAGGAAGATGTGTAAGAAAATGTGCAAGTTTGTCCAGGCTGTTCTAGCAGAAGAGGAGAGGGTGTAAGGCCCATGGGTACTTGAGCTGTCTCCTTTTAATCTTCTGTGATTATAAACAGCTTGTTTTATAATTAGGCTGTGACCGATTCCAACTTGTGCATCCTGTGATGCACAAAACTTCTCTTACCTTTTCAGTGGCTGTTAATACTTCTTGCTCTGAACATGTAACTGACAAGAGCGTAGTCTTTCTATTTGGCATATTAAAAAGGGGTTTCTTTGGTGTTTTTGTTTGAATTGAGGGACCTAAAAGCATGTGGTACTTGGGTAGCAAAGTACTGTTGAACTAGAAGGACTATTGTAATCGCAGAGCAGCTGCACTGACAGTAATGTTTTCACCACAAGGAAAATGAAGTCTTTGTGCAGTTATGTAGAAGGCTGTCAAATCTGGAAAATATCTCTGTGAATCTGTCCGCAGGCACATCAGCTGGAACCAGCTGAGATTACAGGTCATGAATTGGGAAAATAGAAGATTTTCCAGGGTAGTTAGTTTGTAAAAAATGGGCTGTATTTTACTCCTGATAAAGGCTGAATTCTGTTGCTCAGCAACAAATCAAAGCAACTAACAAATTGATTGCTGCTTCTCTGATCCTGAACTAAGACTTACTTTATTTTCTGGGCTCAATTCTGAGCACAGTGTCCAATGAGAGATGTCTGTGTTTGCTGTAAAACTGATGTTTGGCAATTAGGTGAATCCTCTGCTCTAGCTAATGTCTGTCTCCCTGTTGAAAAAGGAGAATTGCTGCACTATTCAGTGCTGCTCCTGTGTTGCTGATATGCAGATCAGGAGCCAGAATCCAGTTAGGTTAGTAAACATTGTCCAGTTCTGCTGCACTCCTTGCACAGCATCCTTGCATTTTGAGAAATGCACTTTTATTTTTTTAAGTAATCTGTTAGTATTTTTCTAACTTTGCTCTTTTTGTCTTCTGACCTACCTGTGATACTAAGTGTAAGATGCTATTTACTGACTTTTCAGGTTCCTGAATACTTGCATCTATGTATATGTGATGCGTTGCATTCACATGATGATTGCTGCACAGGTATTAATATTCTTAGTCATGTTCATAATACATGCATTTTTTTCATACACAATGTAATACTTGAGTGTTAAACACCTCAGTGGTGTTACTGCTAAAGCAAACCCTAATAAAATAAAGGGAAGATCATTTTTTGTTACAGAATGCTAAGATACAGCACGTAGCTTGGAATGTTTCAGCTTGTAAATGAAAGAGATCTTCTTTTGAAGTCCTGTATCCCTTCTAGCATTTACCCTACCAGAATGGTCTGGGGTTAGATTTATGCTCCTTGGCTTCAGCAGTTGGCATGAACCTGTCAAAAGCTGAAACCGCTGTTCTGAGCTGTCTAGATACTTCAGTCTAAAGCTGAACTATGTTATTTCTTCCAGAAAAGAAAATCTTCACAGCTGATTCACTAGCTGACTTTCAAGTCTGTCTAGCTGCTTTTAGCAGTTATATTTTCCTGAGTAAACATAGTCAATTTTCAATCTTTGTAACGTATTCAGGGGGATGAATTTCTTTTGTTCTGTGAGAAAGACACAGGTGGTGGACCATTTTAGAAAAAGAAACTTTTTTGCAGTTACTGATAAATGATACACTGTAATATATTGATCTTCTGATACATAAATTGTCCTCTTCATCTCTTATTTTTCTCTTAGGCAGAAAACCTTCTACTTGATGCAGACATGAACATTAAAATTGCAGACTTTGGTTTTAGTAATGAATTTACAGTTGGTAATAAACTGGACACTTTTTGTGGAAGCCCACCGTATGCCGCTCCTGAGCTTTTCCAAGGAAAGAAATACGATGGTCCGGAAGTGGATGTGTGGAGCCTTGGGGTCATTTTGTACACTCTAGTAAGCGGATCATTGCCGTTTGATGGTCAGAATCTAAAGGTACAGTTAAAATATGCAAGCTTGGCTTCTACTGTCTTTAAATCTTCTATGTGATTAGTAGGCTCACCTTTAAAACTTTACTTTAAAGGAACTGAGGGAGCGAGTATTGAGGGGGAAGTACCGCATTCCATTCTATATGTCCACAGACTGTGAAAATCTACTTAAGAAGCTACTAGTACTGAATCCAATAAAACGAGGCAGCTTGGAAGTAAGTGTAATTTCATCTTGGAAAAAAAGGGTTTTCAGATTAAGAAAGAACAAAATACAATAATTGCTTAAGATTTCTTTATTTTTCAGATAGGTACATTCTTCCTGTTTTAAGGGCCCAAAAGTCTTGTTTAAAAAAAAAAAAAAAAAAAAAGGAAATGTCCCAGAAACAGTGCAGCTTGAAAAGTGTTAATGAATATAAGTCTAACCTTAGTTGCAGCTGACTAAAGACGATAATTTAAGAGCATTTCAAAGTGCAAACTGCTCCGACTTGTTTCAGTCAGATAATGGAGCGTGTTCAAAATGTGTGGAAAGCAGGACAAGATTGTAAGTATCTTCTGCTTGGAGTTTTTCAGAAAAACAAAAACAGCAGCAGGAAGTACCATGAGCATTTTTGACTTAGCTTGCCATTTCCAGCATGATGGCTACAAGAAGAATAACTACGTGGGGCTTTTTGTTTGGTTTAGTGCCATAATACAGAAAAACACTAAGAACTCTTTAAACGATAAGCTAATAATTGCTAGTTATTTCTGTTCAGTCTCTTCTTCCCCCTCCTTCTGGGAGCTTTTGTTTCTGAATAGCTGGAAAATTAACATATAAGCTGGAAAATTAACATATATAACAATACCTGCTGTGTCCCTCAGCTAAAATCTGTTTTGAGGATTTATGATTAAATCCATCTCTTCATGGGATGCAGAGGATATCTGTGCATAACCTGTGTTTAAAAGGTTCAATGTTTTTTAAGGGACTGTTTTGTTCAAGATTGCTGTACTGGCATGTACTTGCTGGATAACTCTGGAGCTGATATTTAACAAATATTTTGTGTAGAGTTCACTGTAAATGCTGCTCTGTTCTATTTTGTGAATTCTTTAACAAAGAGAGACTTTTTTTTAAAAAATAACATCTGCTTACCATAGAGATGAAAGTAGAGCAGAAGATAAATGGAATTGTTTTAAAATAGTATTTGCATGATTTAATCACCGGTGACTTTTGTTTCATCTTTCTGTGCATACTTGTGCAGCAGTGGATGGTGTTCCAGAGAATAAATCCCACTTAAGCTGCTTTTTATTTGTAGTGGCATGACTTGTGCTTCCTGGCATGGATGCTACCTGTGCAAGGAAGCCTGCATTTACTGAGCGCTCTCTGCATGCAACTTATTTCAAGCTGATGGTGGTTTGTGACTTGTTATAAATAGTTTTAAATTGAATAAAATCTGTGTTGAAGAGAGTAGTGAATGGTGGCTTCAACTTTACTGATATTCATTAGTTATGCTGTATTTATTACTGTCTAGAGGACATAATGATAAGAGCGTAGTCACTCGAAGACGGTGAAAGATTGCTTTTTTCCCGTGTTGTGTTTTAAGTTTTAGGAAAATAATTTTCCTTTTATTGAACTTTCCTCTGGATTTTCAGCAGTTTCTCTTCAGATCTAATTTCACTTTCATTCTAGATATTGTAGTGTTATCCAGTTCTTCTAAAATTCCTTCCTGCCCCTGGAGAGAGGTGTTGGATAGCAGCCTCGCTGGAACAGCGTAGTTGTCAGATTGTATGGAAGAAAGCGAGTAAATGTTACGTGTGATGGGGGTACCAAAATACTGATGATGATGGGCGTTGATCAATATGCTAATCTGAGGGAGAGAGACATCACAAACTTTTTAAAAATGAATGTTTCTGAAATCACATGTTTGTTGAATTAAAAAGCTATGGTACGTGGTTTGGAAAGAAATTACTGTTTCTTCTGTGTGAGCACTTCTAAAAATACATATTTAGAATGGAAGTATGTATTTATTAGAAGTTTCTAAAAGTGGAAAGACAATGTCAGCTTAGGTGAGGAGGATTTTTATTTGTGCTTTGTCTTTTAATTATTTGCTCAGTCCCAGCCATACACCCGCTCAGTTCCCATGCATGTTTTCCCAGGCCATCCAATAGGATGTTTGTCAGTGACATTAGCATCAAAGCTGAGACTGACACAGAATCAGCACTGTATGGGTTGGGCTTAGTACTTTTCCTCTGGTAAGGACCAGGCAAATTTATATTAAAATGGTTTGTCTAGACTTTTTCATGGTTGCAGCAGAAAGAGAACATTTTAGAAGTGAGAGAATGTTGTTGGAAACAGTAAATCGCAGGAAGAGGTGGGAAAACTGCATTGTCAGAAAACATATGGGTCGCTCTTAACTATCGGGATTTCAACAAATTCCTCCTCCCCCTTCAGTCTCCAATTCTTTGCAAAGCAGCACTATGTGAAGTTCCCACAGAGCAGGTTTATGTTTACAGAGAGTAGTAAAGCAGTTAATTTTGAGACAGACAGGTCTTGCCAGGCCAGATTTTTATTAGATAGTTTTCCTGAGAATTGAGAGAAGCCTTGTCAATAATAGCTAGTTGGTTGAAATTCAGTTTGGGTTGATCTTTAAGGAATACAGGTTGGGTCAGATCTTTAAATACCCTGGCCAAGGCTCCTGCTCTTTTACCAGCTGACTGGAAGCCCAGCTGAACTTACACAGATGTAATACTGATCCTGGAGTTGGATCATTTGTGTCACTTCAAAATGCCTCTTTGTAAGAGCCTGTTTTAAGAGTTGTACAATAACTCAGTACGCCTATAAGATCATGTATTTAAAAGGCAGAAGCTAGCAAAAGTTTAGATATTTAACAGATGGAAACCTAGAGCAAATTACATTGAGCTATAGATCCACCTACTGAAGAGACATGAAAAGCTGTAAGTGGGAATGGTGTTTGCCTGTTAATTCAAGAAGGATCAAGAAAGGGGGATAGGATTTGAGCAGTGTGATTCCTGTCATCCAAACACCTCAACATGCCTAAACTTTAGATTTAATTAACAGTATCTAAAAAATTGTAATTGCAGATACCACATAGTACTCTTTAGGCGGTCTAGGCTACAAATAAATAACCAAAGTCTGTTTTCAAATAGACTCATGTTCTTGGTTAAGATCCCTAGATGTTACTACTACTGGAAATGGTAAGTTAGTTGCCAGAAATGCAATATAGCAATACATGTTCACAATCCCTTTCTCTATCCCCCTCAAAAGCCAAAAAATCAATTCTGTGGCAGAACTTTGAAGAAATCTTTAAGTCTTATCAGCAAAACATTAGCTGGTTAAAGTACAAAGTTCTGTATTGTTCTTATAAGGATACAGCTATTTGGGTCTGTAATTTGGCAGCTGCAGTACATACAAAGAATTTGGTTATATCAGTGGAAAATTGAGTCTTTTGCTTTTTGCGAGAAATAACTTAATTCGGTGTTTGCAAGGCATATTTGGAGCCTGTGGGAATCTCGACTTGCTGGCACTTGTTTCACTCTTCTGTCAATCTAGTAGGCAGTATTAACATTTGTCCCTAAAGAGGCATGTGTGCCTGTTACTGTAGGAGGGAAAATGTTTTTAGCTGTTTTAAAGAAGTTGAAAATGTCCTTAAGGAGAAATTGTGGTGGTGATTAGGGATTCTAGCTGATCAGTCTTGCAGACATATAAAAGATCCAGGCCACAGCGAAAGGAAATTTTCCAAAGAATGCAGGAGACATTTTTAAATATCTGCATGGCATAGAGAGAGTTAAGAGGCATTTCTCCCTCCAGCCAAACTGTGAACATATTTAGGTCAAGTGCAGTGAGAAGATCCCTAGGAAAAAATTACCAGTTGGCATCCCAATCTTGAAACAAATGACTGCAGGAAGCATTGGCATGCTCCTAAAATATTCCTTCATTTCTGAACACCTCCTTTGTTACTATTTGCAGGAGTTACTTATTGTAATAGAGCTGGTATTGTAGTAACATCTAGGGATCTTAACCAACATGAGAGCGTGAGTGTCAGGCAGGTGGCAAGATGAGATGAAGAGACAGTGGGAGTGCAGGATACAAAATGAAAGATTTTTGTGTGTTGGATCCGCAGGGGGTTTTTCGCTCAGTAGTTTTTCTGATATTTTGGGCAGGGGGTTTGTATTGTAAAGGTAAATAATATGGGGGAATGGACTAATGGAAGCAAAAGGATGTGAAAGATAGAAGAAGAAAATGTATG